AGTTTCCTTTTTGCTAGTTAGTCCTCTATTTTATGCCTTGCTACCCAAGTTAAACCTAAAATTTACTAGCAGACCCCTACTACAAGCTTCTAGGAAGCCTCTTGGGCAGTTACTTGAGAGATTCTCTCAGTACATTACCCAAGTTACCCCTTAAGCACCCTGTTATTACCTCTGAAAAACCAAACCAACAACGGGTTACAATTGACCCAATAACCCAAACCCATTTGGACGGGCTGTTCTTTACCAAACGAATCAGAGACAGCCCAAAGCCCAAACTAACAACTATCTAAATTGACGAGCAAATCCGCAAGACAGAATACCCAACATGATTTCGAGAGCAATCCAAACTAGATTATTAATCAATTAACATAACTAGGTAGGTAATTAACTAGGTTAATAAACCAAAATAACCTAATTAAACTAAGTTAAAGAGACTAACATAAAAATGGGGAAAAATCAGAATTTTAACTTATAACACTGATAAAACTCAACAGGCTAAGAACATCAGCAAACACGTTTTTATGGTTTTGAAAAAATGGAATAGAAAGGGCAAAAGAACAAGAAACACTCACACTCAGAAAATTAATCAAGTCAAATAAGGAAAAAGAGAAGAAAAGAAGAGGAACGACGGGTAAAAATGAGACCAAAACGGACCTCAAAATGAAATGAAACTCACCAGCTAAACTTGAAATGACTCTTGATATCTTGATTCACACGAAATTGATACCACTCGCTTTTCACAGTCAAGAAATTACGAATAGCATCAATTTTGTAGTGAAGCAATCCTCTGAACGTGAGAAGAGCAAGCTTGGGTCGATGCACGCCACAGGAATTGGTTTTGAACTTTTAGGGCTCTTATCCGGATCTAAGATTCGAGGGGTTTTGGGAAGATTCGAAGGAAAATAGTTGTGGATTTGGTACGAGGGGATCATGGGGGTTGTAGGGTGTTAGTTTGGGGTGGTTTAGGACCGGCGCCGCCGTGGGCGGTGGAGGTGGCGGCTAGGGTTTTGGAGATTCGAAGAGTTCCAGTGGGAGTCGGGGGAAAATAATGGTAGATTCATGATGAGGGGGAGACCAGGGTGTTGTGGTGTAAATTTGGTTAAGATTGGACGTCGGCCACCGCCGTAGGCGATTTCCGGCGGTGGCAGACGGCGGCTCAGGGCGGAGGGAGACGGTCTCTAGGGTTTGACGGAGAAGAGAGACGAGGGGGGGTGTCGTTTGGACATTTAAATATTAAAAGACCCAAGCTTCAGGACCGTCCGATCAAGAAACCTCGACGGTCTTGATCTAACGCCAATGAAACGGCGTCGTTTTATTACAATAAGGCTGGACCGGGTACTGTGCGTGAGTCTGGGCCGGGTAGGCAGGCTGGGGCGGTTTTGGACGGGTTGGGGCCTCTAATTAATTGGGCTGGAATGGATTTGGCCCAATTTTGGGGTCTTTAAAAAGGAAAATCCAATTCTTTTAATTTCTTTTCATTTTCTTTTTTTTTCTTTGTTTCAGATTTTTGTCAAATACAAAATTAAGCTAAAAGGACCTGATTTAATTCTAAAATTAAACTAATTATTTTTTCCAAAAATTAATTAAGTCCTAATTTAAAGAAAACTATGACAAATTCGGAAATTAAAAGGTAAAATGCAAGAAGAGCTATTTTTTGGTATTTTACTTTCCTTAATTAAATATTCATCCTAAAAAGTAGAAAATTAGGTCCTAAATGCAAATGCACTATTTTTGTATTTTTCTATAAATTAACCATGCTCACAAAAATGCAAGCAAACATGAAAATTATGCGATTAATTCCTAAAAAAAAAATCAAATAATAAAAGAAAAATCCTAATTCTAATGAATTTATAGGAGTAATTTAAGCGCGGCAAAAATCACGTGCTCACAGCTGCCCCTAAAAGGATGCCTTGAGACAAAAGTAAAAGATAAAAAAGTAGCTAAAGTGAAAAGGAAATTTGAAGGAGAATGGACAATTTATTCCAATTATACTGTAGCTCCTAAAGGGAGGATCTGGGTGCTTTGGAAAGACAATCTAGTAGAAGTCCAAGTGATTATGGCAAGTCACCAGATGGTACATTGTATAGTCAAAGATAGAGGGTCAAATTTCTCTTGTGAGTTGACCTTTGTTTATGGCTACAATACAAATGCAGAGAGGAAAGAGATGTGGAACCAGCTAAGAAGCCTCCATAGTAACATAAAAGACCCTTGGCTAGTGATGGGAGACTTCAACACAATTCTATCAGTCAATGATAGAGTGAATGGAAATCCTGTAGCCCAAACAGAAGTTCAGGACTTCCAAAACTGTATAACTGATTTGGGTTTGGGACAATTGAACAGGAAGGGTTGGCAGTGGTCATGGTGTAATAAACGAGATGAGATAGATAGAATCTATAGTAACATAGATTGGGTGTTTGGGAATTCTCAATGGTTTATGCTCCACAGTGAGATTGAAGCTTTTTATGATTGCCCTGGAGTTTCAGACCACTCACCAATTATTATTAGCACAGACAGCACCAAGCAGACAATACCCAAGCCATTTAGATTATTCAATGCCCTGCTGCAACATAAAGAATTTAATGAAGTGGTACAACAGGCTTGGGGACAGAAAGTAGAAGGGTATGTCATGTATTCAGTATGGAGAAAGTTGAAGATGATTGAGCAGAATGCAAGACACATGAATAGAGAACTATCATCATTGGATGGGAAAATGAAACTTATGAGAGTTGAACTGGAAAAGACATAGATGCAGATGAGTAATGACTTATTTAATGATCAGTTGATCTTCAAGGAGAAAAACCTGCTACAACAGATAGAGAAATGGGAAGGCATTCATGAGCAGATATTAAGGCAAAAGTCCAAGGCCACTTGGATCCAAGCTGGGGATTCAAATACAAAGTTCTTTCATGCTCATATAATAGCAAGGCAAGCTAGAAATAGAATAGGGTCTATTTGCAAAGAACAAGGTATTAGGTTGACTGAACCAAAGCTGGTGGAAAAAGAGTTTGTTCAATTCTTTCAGAAGCTATTGGGAACCTGTGCAGAAGAACTGCCTTGTCTTGATATCAATACTGCCAAACTAGGACCTTGCTTAACTAAAGATCAACAGATGGTAATGCTAAAACAGGTTACAAGGGAGGAAATAGATCGGATAATCAGAGAACTACCAAATGATAAAGCCCCAGGCATTGATGGCTTCTCAGCTGAATTTTTTAAGTATTATTGGGAGGAAATTGGCACAGAAATAGGCGGTACTGGAGTTCTTTGCAAGTGGGAAACTACTAAGAAGTGTCAATTGTACAACTGTTACTTTGGTGCCCAAAGTAGCAAGCCCCACTTATGTGAAAGAGTACAGACCAATTGCATGTTGCACTACCTTGTACAAGGTGATAGCTAGAATCCTGACAGAGAAGCTAAAAACAGTGGTAGACTATGTGGTCCACGGCACAGTCGGCATTTATCGAGGGGAGGAACATATTGGATAATGTAATGCTGGCACATGAATTGGTCAGAGGTTACACACAAAAAGGTGTATCTCCCAGATGCTTAATAAAGATAGACATAAGGAAGGCATATGACTCAGTAGAATGGCCATTTTAAGAATGATTCTGTTAGAATATGGTATGCCAGTCAAGATAGTAGAACTGATAATGGAATGTGTTACAACTGTGAGCTATTCCTTGCTGCTGAATGGGGGTCTAACAACTAAACTCCAGGCAAGAAAGGGATTGAGACAGGGGGATCCTATGTCCCCTTATCTGTTTGTTTTAGTCATGGAATACCTGAACAGAAGCTTGAAGACTCTTGATCAGATTCCAGACTTTAACTACCATCCAAAATGTGCCAAGCTTAAAGTAACACATATTTGTTTTGCAGATGATTTGATTATGTGCTGCAGAGCTGATAGAGTATCAATACAGCTAATGTTAAAGGCATTTCATCACTTCTCTAAAGTATCTGGGCTTCAGGCTAATATGGAAAAAAGTTCCTTCTATGTTGCAGGAGTAACTGAGGAGTTCAAGAACTTGATTATCTCTTAAATGCATTTTACATTAGGAGAATTCCCATTCAATTACTTGGGAGTTCCACTTTCAACAAAGAAGTTATCAATAGCTCAATGCATGCCACTGGTAGAAAGAATCACAGCAAGAATTAAATTCTGGACCACCAAGTTTCTGTCATATAGTGGTAGGCTGCAATTGATCAAGAGTGTCCTATTTGAAATGCAAACTTATTGGGCACAGGTATTCCTGCTACCAAAGAAGATAATTCACATGGTTACTACTATTTGTAGGACATTTCTCTGGACAGGTAGCAATGAAATCTCAAAAAGATCCTTAATGTCATGGGAGAAACTTTGTATGCCAGGCTCAGCTGGAGGCTTAGGGATTCTAGATTTCTACTCATGGAACAAAGCAGCCTTGTGCAAGATACTATGGGCTATCAGTACAAAAAAGGACATTCTTTGGGTGAAATGGATTCATAACTTCTATATTAAGGGTAGGAATGTCAGCACAATGGCAACACCAAAGCAAGCCTGCTGGATTATCAGGAAAATGTTTGATACAAGAGAGTGGTTTGAGGCTATGAGTGCAACAGGAGACATCAATGAATTCTGCAACCAAGGGAAGTTTAGCATCAAGACTATGTATAAAGCAGCAATGCCTCAGTTTCAGAAAGTCACATGGAAGAACCTTGTATTGGGAGATAACACTATACCAAGGCATCGATTTATTTTGTGGCTAGCTCTTAACAGAAAGTTAGCAACAGTGATAGATTGACAAAATGGAAGATAGAAGTTCCAAAGGAATGTGTGCTATGCACCAGCCAGAAAAAAGAGACGCAGGATCACCTTTTCTTTGAATGTGATTATGCTAAATCCATATGGACAGCATTGTTAGGCTGGTTGAAAGAGAAACATAATGTTGGAAGCTGGGAACAGGAACTGCAATGGCTGATAAAGAGAACAAACAACAGCAGACCACAAGCCCAAGTCCTCACATTCCTATTTGCAGCAACAATTTACTACACGTGGATGGAGAGGAACAGAAGAAGATTTCAGAACAACTGTATCGCATATGCAGATAGAATTCGAGAAATAGCCCTGCAGCTGCATATCAAAGGCCAGAACAAGAGCAAATGGAAGGCAATACTAGAACAGCTAAATAGATATCCTAGAGGGAACAATGTACAAATCAGGAAGAGATTAAGAAGTGAGTAGGAAATACATAATGTAATTATGAAGAGAAAAACTGTAAAGGATCTAGCTCTAGAGTCCCATGAGCTAGCAGATGTAAATATTCCCATTGGTTAAATACAAATCTTTTAGTTTGACCAAAAAAAAGTGTATTGGGAAAAATAAATATTACCCGTGGAATTAATTATATGGCTGACATGGCAAGACATGTGGATCACTAGAAAAGCGACAGTTGGAGAAGAGTATCAAAAAAGACGTGAGTCTTAATAGGTACGAGCAAAACGTCTAAGAGACGAGAAGAAACGGTTGCTCGAGTCTCTTTAGCGATTTGAAGAGACACCGGTGGAATGAATCAAGAAAATAAAAAGGACAGATTCATTGGTCTTCAATTAATGAGCATGGATGATTACAAACGTTACAAAATCTTCACGAAACAGTTACGATTACTAATTATAACGTTTCATTAATGTTCATAATGATTCGATCATAAAAGAAAAATGACGTTGTACTTAGAGATGACTATATGAGAAAAATAAATATCATTTGTATGGACACGTTCTGATTATTATTGGAATACAATTATTTACTTTTTATTTCTATTGATTACTTTGCTATTCTAATCTCCTTTCTTACTGCAAGAATATTGATTTTCTTGATTATCAGTAACCTGAATACTTCTAAAAATAGGCTTTGACCAAAATTCCTATTTCTTGGTTAAACAAATTGGTTCTGTTACCGGGAATCTAATAATCTATTCACTTTTCAAATTCTTTTTCCTATCAAAAAATCATGTCGAATGCTAATGACAACAACCAACAAAATCAGCATCACCAGTTGAACCAACAAAATCAACAAGGGGATGGAACTCCAGTCCCTTCACCACGAAACTCTCCTTAACAATCCCGAGAAGGGTCACCTGACAGATCTGTATCACATGCGAATAACCAACATGGGGATGATCAAGCTATTGATGAAGCATTAAGCAATTAATGGCAGAACAAGTCAACAATGCTCTTCAAGCTTTTGTTAGTGGATTGACAACTGGACCACCAACTCCACCTCCGAATAACACCGCAACCATAGAAAATCCACGCTCAGGACTTGCCAATTCGAGCAGTGGAGGAACTCCCAGCGAATCTCATGATGGAAGGTCAGGTATTCCAATTAACTCTGATTTACAAAGTTTAGTACTAACTTTGTAGAAACAGCTCAAGGAGCAGAACGATCGCATAGAGCAGATACCTAGTGTTCCACCTATAATCAAAGGAGTGGATATGGATAAATATTCTCAACAACCTTGGAAGCCAAGTACCGCCCTTTGCCTATTCCAAAAAGGTTAAAGATGCTCGATATCCCGAAGTATAATGGGACAACCGATCCACGAGATCATGTAATAGCATTTACAACTGGTGTGAAAGGCAATAATTTGACTAAGCAAGAGATTGAATCAGTGCTGGTCAAAAAATTCGGTGAAATATTCACAAAAGGGGCACTAACATGGTATTCTCTTTTACCTGAAAACTCTATTGATTCTTTTGCTAAGCTTGCAGATTTATTTATAAAAGCACACTCGGGAGCTCAAAAAGTTGAAAAGAGGATGGAAGACATCTTCAAAATAAAACAAGGAGATCTGGAGCTACTCAGCGGATTCGTGGATAGATTCCAACGTGAAAGAATGATGTTACCACGCGTACCTGACAATTGGGCGGCTATGGCATTTGCAAGTAATTTAAATGAAAAAAGCTCAAAATCCACGAGGAGACTCAAAGAAAGCTTACGAGAATTACCTGCAACAACTTGGAATGATGTTTATAACAGGTATAGCACGAAGCTGCGGATAGAAGAAGATACTATCACTCAGTCATGGGGGGATGAAAGAGTAAGCTCGAGGCGACCAGAAACTAAAAAAAGGTCCGGTAAGAACAGGTACGAACCTTACATGGGACCAGTAGGAAGGAATTCACGTTCAAAACATGGGAACCCAAGGTACGACTCCAAATCTAGGGACAGAGATTCGGGTTCATCATCCAAGTTTGGAAAGGAGCGAGACACACGAGATACGCGGGATAATGATAGAAGTTCAAAAACAAAGATTGGCGGTTATAGTTTCAATGTTAGCACATCTGAGTTGGTAGCTGTTTTAATAAGCATGAGAGATAAGGTGCGGTAGCCAAAAGAAATGAGATTGAACTCCAATAGAAGAAACCCAGATTTCTGGTGCGAGTTTCATAATGATCATGGTCATAAAATAACAGATTGCAGATTGCTACAAGGTGAGGTATAGCATTATTAAAACAAGGCTACTTAACTGATTTGTTCAGTGAGAAGGGTAAGCAAACATATATGAAGAACAGACAGGAGCCCCCAAAAACTCTGTCTCCAAAGAGAACGATTAATGTCATAAGCGGAGGAGAAGAGGTCAATGGAGTGACATATACGACTGCAAAAAAGGCATCAAAAATCACAGCCACCCACGGGAAGCGAGTTCGCCAAGTTTTGGAAGAAGACAGTATAACATTTGATGATGCAGACGCAGATGGCGTGTTGAT